AAAAAAAAAAAAAAAAAAAAATATATATATATATATATATATATATATATATATACATGCAACAAATATATATAAAAACTAATTTATATTATTTATTTTATATTTGTATTTTGCCACATTAACTCAATCTCTCTAATTTTACTATACATCTATCTATCTTAAATTTGACCTCTATTAATAAGCCAATTAATGGCTTATTTATTCATATTTTATATTATTATATTTCACTTATTTCATATGCCATGTTTCAAAATGCTGTCCATTCAATTATGTCGTTATCAACTCGTGGAATTGCAATCAGTTCACACATATATTTGTTTACCTGTGAATCATTTTCTAATAAATATATTTGAGATATATGTAAGAAAATATGTCCAATAATTATTTTTAAAACTGTCCTACGAATCTAAACATTTCCTTTTGCCATAAACAACCTAAAATTTGTTGCTGTTGCTCGTTAAGCTCTGTCAGCGACGTTTAAAGCCGATTGTCAATCAAAATATAACGCATACGACTTGTTGTACGGTGCCACACATGTTCTGTTTGTGTATATTCTATAGACATAATACCACTGATTGACGTAAATATTTAGAAACGTGTCCAGAAACGTTTCTCTTTTATAGCCAAGATTTGCAGGCCAATGAAGCCTCCATATATATAAATTGTGAGCGCAATGCCCGTTAATCGCTTAACAATACAATAAAGTAGCAATAATTATAAAAAAGCAAAGCAAAAAAAAAACTACTAAATGAAATGTTTCTTTAGTCAACAGAATATTGCCCTAAAAATATCGCTACTAAATTATATGCCCCCAACCATAACAGTGAATATTGTTGTATATGGTAGCAATATTCTGATTTTTATGCCACTTTAATTATGATGATTATAATGATGATGATTACTATTAGTGTTATTGTTATTAGCCTGGATTTGTTTTGATTTCCCACGCCATATCTCAGTTTTGTAGTCTAGTGCTTAGGGTCTTGCAGCTGCATCTCGGGCACGCTTCACTGTTTGCCCAGTGCGCTCGGCCGCAGAGATTATTCAAATATTGTTGCACGTTGACCCAAAGTGTTTCACCTTGTTTCCAGATAAGACTCTAAAAGTCCAGACAATTTATAGTTCACACCGTCGCTAAGGTAAAGCAATACATACGCACACATACAAACACGCAAAATTTATGGTATATTATTTTCAGTTTTCTTTAATAATTTTATGAAGTGCAAATTATCAATAAATAGTCCTATAATGCTCGTATACTTCAGCAATCTGTCTAGTTGGGCCCATATACATAAAAGTAAAATAAAAGGTTCTCAAAATATTTGATCAGAAAAAGACCTAAAAGCTAAATCTTATATTTCCTTTATAAGTCGCATAAGAGTTTGCAATTCAAATACCAACAAAATTTATCGTCCCTTTTAATATTCAACAGATATTATTTGGCTACTAGAAATAAATACTCTAATAATTCATCTTATATTTATTATATCGGCTCTTATACTTTTTTAATATCTGATCAGTTCATATATAAGTCTTTAACTAGAAATCTAAACTAACTACTATAAATTTTACTTCTACTTCTCCCTCTACTCTTATAAACGCACTCAATCACAGAACTGTGCAACACGCCCAATTTAGAAGACTTTACCGAATTGCTGGAAGCAGGTGGTACGAATCCAAAAATTCTAATTCTAACTCTTTATACATATATGAGTATTTATATAACTGCTTGCTCTTATTCTTCTTGGTACTGTTGTTGCTATTTCATCTAGGTATTTTTTGTATTCTGTTTTTTTTTTTTCTCTTGCATGCGCCGCCCATAAATAAGCCCAAGTCGTATATGGCATATAACAGTATCAATATACATACATATGCATAAGTCTGTATGCATGCATGTCTATAGCATATGATTGTAAAATGTTTATTGCATGCCGCGCGCAGAGTCGCATTCGAAATAATTAACGTAAATTTGAAAACAATTTTTTTTTCGTGAAATTTATGACTTTAATGGCAACGCCGACGTCGACTTTGACTTCGAAACTCAGCTTCATCAGAGTTTGAGTTCGAATGGCGGCATTTAAATTGCGGCCATTGGCTGTCATTTTCTAAGCCTACTCTCCCTCTCCACGCTGTTCGACACACTCATAAATGGGGTCCGCGGGCAAAATGGCGTGTTGGCCACGTTTGATATATGTATGTGTGTATGTATGCGCGTATATGGCCAACATCCTCTGCTTGCTCCGCCTTTGCGTGCCACAAATTTGGCTGCGGCACGTACGTGCGGCATTCGTTTGTGCCGCTGCACGCGATCTGATAATATATGTACATATATACTATTTCTTTCTTTCTTTCTTTTTTTTTTTGCGCTGCATTTCCTTTTGGCATTTATAACGGCTGCGTGCCGGGCCGCGCCTTTGACTTGCAGAAGAGAGTGGGCGAAGAGGAGAAGGGGAGGAGACACAGAGAGGGAGCGGCAGACTGTATCTGTTTTTGGAGGCGTTGTACTTTTTGCATATGCATGGCACACACTCATAAAGCGCGTTGCCCGCCTCGCATGTCGCATGTTTCCACTTTGATGTACGCCATTTTGAATTTCTCACCC